CAAATAGAACTGCCCGGTAAACCGTAGGCAGAGAGAGAGAAGAGGACAACAAACGAGGGGCTGTGACAAACTGTTTCGTCAGAGTTTCACCGACATATATATATATATATCGTCATATAAATATACATCTTTTAAACTCTGAGAATCGCTGCTTCAGAAGTAACAAATTTTAGACAATACAAAACTTCACTGTGTAATGGGACTTCTTTTGCTTTTACACGCTGCCTGTCTCTCCCTTAGTTAGTATTTTTATTTCTTTCTTCTTGGTCTGGCTGTTTCTGTTCGTACTAATCTTTACTGTTTGTCCTCTTGCGCAGGGAGAAGTTGGAGTATATGCTATGTCAGAGTACCCGGGCTATACTTCGATCACACCGATTATCGCTGCCCTGTTGACTTCGCTTTATACCGTGCTTGTACCCTGACGTGGCAATCGGCCACTACACACTAGTGTTCTCCCCCTTTACTACCACCTGCAGATATCAGATTAGAGGGGTAGAAGAGAGGACCTACATGACTCTGACCTCTACTACTACTTGTGACCAGACACTTGTGTCTTGACTTTCAAACCAGACCTTAGGTGGACAGCAGCAGCAGCGACCACCAGATAGGGAAAGAAGTAGAGTACACACACACACAGCTAGGTAAGGGGATGTGGAGGTTCTTCTCTCTTTGAAGTGGCCGTTGATGAAGCTCCTCGTTGCTCCACCTCCAACGCTCCAGGTAAGTATTCTTCTGCCCCTTCCTCTTCGACTTACTTCTTCCCCAATCCCAATCCACCTCTATCTCACAACTCCACCATCGCCAGCATCATCCTCAAGCCAGCATTCTCTTTTTCTCGCCAGCCTTACTCATGCCAGCGCAATGAATGCAACAAGCTTCTGCTCCGATACCAAGATTGCTAGGGACCTGACTGTCCTCCTCTTGCTGGAGTGTATCACAACGCATGCATAGACAATGACTCACACAAAATGAAGCTCACACATAGTCCAAATGAGATGGGATAGAACAACGATGCGCAGCTCAATTAATCATTAACTCATTATACAAGAGTATATCGAGATCCAAAGTTCAGCGCCCAACATTATCACGAGTTTCTTCCTTTCATCTCACGAATGGGGCCTGGCTCAGCCAGCGCCACSTTCAGAACTCAAGTATAGCGCACAGMAGGTAAGTATCCACCATAGCCASATCCTACCTCACTCTYTCTCTCTTCTCTCTCTTAGATCTCAGTCTTGATTCTCTAGTCCCACCATACATGCACACTYYTACTACGAAGAYSTACTTTGAATGCTACTCACTGTAGACTAACTACTAACCCACTACCTATACTAACTAGCTGGCGCARATATGGCTGCCACTTGCAAGYCAGCGCCCAGCTCTCTTCCTCCTCTCAGCGCAGCTTCTCCTCCAGTGCTAACCCAGCCAGCCAGCGCRCAAGTGCATACAGCACKTCCACGCCAAAATGCCAGTGGGAATCTGAYGTCAAGGGAGGCYGGCCTATTGYTTTATACTGCTGGCCTCYCCTGGCGAGGTCTGCATTGGCCTGTATTGGCACTTCGGGCCTTCCTCAGTCCCAGACCCATKYATATGTGTGYGTCCCARTATTTTCCCCTCAGGGTCTKCTGCTGCTGCGGCSATCTGGCCTSGATTTCRGACTGGGTGTCTGAATCTAGACCCCCTATTAGACTTAGACAGAACTGGAAACCTGCCCTTTGACTTCCTTTTGGACAGACACACATTTTGCACGAACAGACACTCATTGTGTACGAACAGACACACATATTGCACCTACAGACACATCTCTTACCTGAACAGACATGACCTACACACCCTCTGGACGAACAGATGTGACCTCCAAATCAAAAACATTGCAACTGTTCGTTCAGGGGCACAACTGTCACCTTTGACATTGGCTTTTGGTTTAACTAGGATGTGACTTTTGACCCAGAGAACATATCCTTTGATCTGCTTTCACGAGTTGGGCCCTGGCGAGGGACCCCTCTATGCTGCATTTGCCGAGCAGGGTCGGAATCGGGTAAAGGCCCTTTTAATAGTAACTTATTCTTCATATTGTATCCGACTTCTGTTCCGCCAAGCTGCTGGAGCACTGCTGGAGCACTGTGCTGAGGTATGGAGTGGAGGTCTACAGTTGAGGAGATGTACTTACCTGATGGTACCGTAAACGGAGTTCCAATTAGCACAAGACTGTGATCGATGTATCTGCATTACATCAGCAGCTGATACCACCATTCCATGCTGGTTAGCAGGGTTGCATACCTGCCGACCACCGACCCCGACCGCCGATCGTATTGCAGCCGACCAGGCAGAAAACAACCATGCACTGATTTTTTTTCAAATCTGAGTTGGGGACTGTACTGCGCTTCCTGAGAACAGCCCAAATCCGCTGAGAAACTTTTGGGGATTGGGGGGGTGTTGCATACCGTAATGGTGCAGACCAGAACAAGAACCGACCTCTCTCATATAGTACAGGATAGCGCAACGGAAGGCTAAATACAAATGATCAGACCAATGCATGTTGCAATGCAGACCAAACATACATCATCATCATCGCAAGGTGTGAAGGGGCCTGGCGCTGCACACAGGAAGAATGCGCCAGGCCTAGATCATACATAGACGAAGAGGAGGGGGATCAGACGAAGAGGAAGGGAGGAGATGCGAATGTCGTCGACACCAATGTCGTTGATATCGATCCCAAATAGTCTCCCCTCAATGTCTCTGTCCCAAGGCTGATTCTGAATCTAAATGCCGTCAAATCTCGAAGTCACAAATCTCTGTCTCTCTTTCTCCCTCGTAGCCTGTCAAATAGCGAGAAGTCAGGTAGCGAGAGGGTGAGGGAGAGATGGTGGACTGAGAGGAGGAAGAAGAAGAACTCTCTCTCTCTCTCTCTCTGGTGCCAGGTACTGACCTGTGAAGGTGGCGCCTTGTTGCAGGTAAGTCGAAGACGAAGCCGGAGCTATGGCGCCGCAGGTAAGCTCCCAGGTAAGTCTCCCTGGCCTCCGCCACTTCCCTCTCCCAACACTACTCTAAGATCCTAGCAGCACCCAGTGCTGAAGACTACTCCTATCGCTATCTACTACTACTGCAGCGCTCCTGCAGAGTGCTGCTGCCGAATCCTGAAGACTGCCTCCTGAACTGCCTGTGCCCTCCCGGGCGGATCAGTACTATATAGTGCTGGTCCGGCTGGGAGGCTGCTCTTGCCAATGCCGAAACGTGCCAGACCCTGGCGCCCAAGTTCAAAAAAAGGTTGTCTTGAAACGGGCCTAAAAATGGCCTGCGCTTATCCCTGGTCTGGCGCCTAAGTTTCAGGAAAGGTCGACCTCATGAGGGCCTAACATTGGCCCTCCTTTTTAGGCTGAAACGACACAGGGCCTGGAGGGCCCTGACTTATCCCTTGTTCCGCCTGGTCGGGCCCTGCAGGCCCGAGTGGTGCGCAGTATGCCACCCCCCCCCCTCCTTGAAAGACTGAGCTTACCTGCAAGGGCGAAGCTGCCTGAAGTCCGGGTAGGAGGGGCAGGACGTGAAGCTTCCTTAGCTAGTCTTTGTCGTTCGTAGTGAGCATAAATCAGAGGTGCGGATGCTTGCAAATCTGCTCATGAAATCCATCGAGTGTCGTCAGGATCGCATGCTTTGAAGGTGTCTTTGTACTGTCGAGGCTTGTTGCCGTACTTGCGATCTGTGATGACGTGGTCGACTTCCTGATGACCATCCATAGACGGAGGGTCTTGCAATTGTCGGCCCGAGAAATTGTCACTCTTAGCCGGTGTATATATGTAGCCAGCTTCGAGGCGTGAACGACTGGATGGACCGGCAGATGCGGACGGATGTCGATCACAAAAGATGGGCCGTCGGGCTTATCGCTTGCGGCTGAAAGGACAGTCCATGGTCCAAACCACTTGGGGAGTGGCTTGCATGAAACATCCTGTTCGAGCGCAAACTCTTCCACAGAGACCCAAACCAGATTGTCGGCGCGGATGGGACATGGCACGAGATGCCTGTTGGCTTGCTGCTGCATGTGGACTTTAGCCTTGTGCATGTTCACACGGGCTTGAGTCAGCAATTCCCTGTACTTCCGGACGGAGGCGGGAGAGCAAGCGACGTATGTCGGCAGTTCATGGGAGGAGAAGATCAGCGAAGATACGGCCTTTCCGGCCACTGTGGTGCAACTAGAATGGAGTCACGTCGATTGCCGGATGCAACGAAGTGTTGTAGGCGAACTTGATGTCGGGGAGGCGGTCAACCCAATCCTTATGGTCCGTACGGATGAGCGTACGAAGCATCATTTGAGCAGTCTGATGTGCTCTCTCCGTGTGCCCATCCGTTTGTGGGTGTCAAGCCGAACTTTGTTTTATTTCGGTGCCGGACTCCTTCATGAGAGATGTCCAAAATACCGACATGAACCGAGTGTCGCGGTCGCAAACGATGTCTTCCGGAACACCATGGCTGCAGCCAGTGTGCAAGAGCCGCGCGAGCTCAGGAGTTGTGGCGTAGTACTTGCATGGAAATGACCGTGAGGATGTCGTCGTGCCCGAAGTGGTCGTGGGGAAATGGGCCAGTGACATCCATAGTAATGGAGAGGCTGGGTTCCCGTGGGATAGGCAACGGGCGCAACTCGCCGTAGGGATTACGGTTGTGGGGCTTGCTTCGTCGGCAAACTTCGTAAGAGTCGCAATACCGAGTGACATCGGTGATGACGTCGGGCCACTGGAATCATTGCCGAAGTCGTGCGATAGTCCAATTGACTCCGAAATGGCTGGCGAGTCGCGAGTCGTGGTACTCGCCGAGAAGGCGAGTCCGAAGACGACGGTCTCGTGGGATGCAAAGTAAGTCCTCGCCTAGCAAGTGGAGAAGCAAGTACCCGTCGACGATGCGATAATTGCTGGCCGACGGGTGCTCCGAAGATAGTTGCGCATATAGCGTGGCGAAATCCGGATCGGACTGGTAGCCCCGAATGAAATGTCGCTGGAGTTCCTCGTCGGATGCGAAGGCATGATGTGTCATAGCGCAAAGATCGGGTCTTCGCGAGAGTGCATCTGCTGCGAGATTGGAGAGGCCAGAGATATGTTTCGGTGTGAAGTCAAATTGGTCGATGAAATACATCCATCGTCCGATAGCGCTGCTCACTGTATCTTGCGTCTTGTAGTAGGTCAACGGGTTGTTATCCGTGATCCATGCGAACCTACGATGCCCAAGGAGGAAGTGCCGCCATCGCTTGAGAGCCATCACAAATGCGAGTAGCTCCTTCCTTGCATAATCAAGTGAATTGATGGGAGGCACCTTGTGGCTGAAGTACTCCGCGGGATGCCAGTCGTCCTCGTCTTGTTGTTCCAAAACTGCCCCAATACCATAGTCGGAGGCGTCGGTTGTCACTCTCGTTGGCAAGGTGGGGTCGTAGATGCTAAGAACGGGTGCCATGAGCATGGCCGTCTTGAGTGCTTGGAATGATCGGCGTGCTTCGTCGTCGAATACGAATGGCACCTTTGGCGATTGTAATCTCGTCAATGGTGCGACAATCCTTGAGTACCCGGTGACGAAGCGTTGATAGTAGCCTGCCAACCCCATGAATGAGTGAACGTCCATGGTGTTGGTGGGATCAGGCCATACGCGGATGGTTTTAATCTTGTCCGCGAGCGGACAGATGCCTTGCGGCGTCACATAATGGCCCAAGTATTCGAGCTCCTGCCGAGTGAACTCACATTTGTCGCGGTTGGCTTTGTACTTGGCTTGTCGAAGCCGCTCCAAAACGGTGCACAGGTGCTCCACATGCTCGTCCAAACTCCGACTGTGCACCAAAATATCGTCGAGGTAGATGAGTACAAATTTGTCCAGCATGTATCAGAACTCCGTTGTCATAGCCGCTTGGAACGTGGCCGGGCCGTTCGTCAAGCCAAAAGGAATAACCAGCCATTCAAAATGCCCATATTGCGTCTTGAACGAGGTCTTGTAGCGGTCCTCCCACCGGATCTCGAGTTGGTGATATCCCAATTTGAGGTCAAGCTTGCAAAAAAAATTTGCACCGCCCAGCCCTTAGAGGAGGTCGTTGATGCGAGGAAGAGGGTCGGCGTTCTTGACGGTTTGCGCGTTGAGCTTGCGATAATCAATGCACAACCGCAAGTCCTTGTTCTTCTTTCAGACGACGAGAATGGGAGCACCGTATGGCGAAGAGCTAGGCCGAATCCAGCCTTTCTCAAGAAGGTCGTCGAGTTGTGCCCGTAGCACACTTAACTCTTCCTCACTCATGCAGCAAATGCAACCACGCAGAGGTACGACCCTCGAGGATGATCTCGTGGCGGATTGGTCGATCCGGTACAACTCCATGTGGGGCTTCGAAAACGTCACCGTAGGCATCTAAAATCTCGGTGATGCGTGGGTCCGTCGATGCGTCCGTCGATTGGATGTCATGGGGAGGGAGGGCATGGAGAAAACACACACCCATCTCCTCGATGTCGTCCTGGGTGATGGACTCTCGAATGCTTGTGGCGGACACCACGTGACAACTGATCGAAGGGTGAGGAGGAGGCACCATGCACGGGACTAGTACTCCGTTTCAATCACGAATGTGAATGGTGCGGCGGTAGAAGTTCACCGGGTGATCCTTGCTTTGCAGCCACGACATGCCCAAAATCATGTCGAACTTGGTGTCCAAAATGTCGAAGGACACGGCCTCGTTTCCATGCGGGGCGAAGTACACGGGGACGGAATCAATGCACCGGTCGATTGACTTGTGCGTGTGACCATTAACCAATGTGACTTGCGTGGGCTGTGACTTCCTCCGAACGCGTGGCCCCAGACCAGCGCGTACTAGGAAATCTTGGCTCATATAGTTGCGAGGAGCTCTGCAATCGATCAAAGCGCTGCAAGTCGCTTCTCCGATCTGAATGCGTATGTACAACAATGGTGCGTCATTGGTGGCGTACCGTTGTGTCTTGAACTCACGGTCGATCTTCGCGAGGTAGTCGTGAAGGTCAACAACTCCTACTCCGGCGTCCATCAACGGAGTTGGTACTGCAGTGTGCAAGTAATCCCGCAATTGTGCCATGAGCACGTTGCAATGCGGTTTCGGCAATCGATTGCTCGGGGGAAGGGGCATCCATTGCAAGTCCGCAAACGTCAACGGGTCGAGTTTCTCAAGTCTTGACCATGACATCGAATCTCCGGGAAAAGTTGGCGGCGAAGCTGCCGAATCGGTTGCCGATGGTGATGAAATCGTGCATGCGGTGGAGTCTTGCATGTGGAGTGGCTGGTCCAACGGTGGGACCAAGTGGACAGCGTAATCCTCGTAAGTGAAGCGAGGACTTGCGACATCCGCATTCTCCCCAGATGTGTAGGAGGCCGTTAGCAAGGCGGCCAAATCTGGCGGAGTGAGAGGTGGAGTCGCCTCACCTCCCGTGCAGCTCAGTTTCCCGAGCTGATTCGAGGTCGAACATCCTCCTTGCCTTGATCTTGTTGGCATTGGAAGGTCTTGTGCTTGGTGCTGTTGCACCAATAGCAGCAGCCGTATCGGCTGCGGTACTTGTATTCGGCCTCGATCAAGCTGAACTTGACCCATGGTACTGGCTGTCCATTTTCGACCAACGATGTTGTTTTCGCTTTCCCTTTTCCACGGGAGTTGTTGTTGCTTTGCGGCTGGACGGCAGCCACTCGATCTCCCTCACGTGATGCTGGGGTGGCTGCCGGGTCTTCCACAAGGTTGTCCGGTTGGACTGCAGCGACGGGCTGCGGGCGCGGACCAAATTTTCCTTTCTCCACATAGGCTGGCTGCCATACAAACTTCTCGTGTGCAGCAGCCCGGTTGGTCGTGATGATCTCACGAGCCTTGTCAATGATTTCGGCAAAGGTCGTGTATTGTTCGCGATCACCGAGTGCGAGGTTCAAGGCGGCACATGACCAGTTGTAGAACTCCCGACGCAGATGCGAAAATGGCAAGTCGAGATCGGGTGTTTCCACAAACTTTTGCCATTTCGTGAGCCAGTCGCATGTCGGTGTGTTGTCTTCAGTCATGGCGAAGAGGCGGTTGATGGCGAGTGTCGAGGCGTCGTCAACAATGAACCGGTTCTTCCATTCCGTCGTCATATCTTTCCAAGAAATCTTCTTGTGCAGGTCGGCGACCTGGACGTTGTGGATGGTTGCCATGTGGCTGAGCCAGATTTGGCATCTGCCCTTGGCGTTGAGGAACAACGCCGAGATGTACAAGTGATCGGGGACCTGATGAATCTGAAGCTCCATTGTAAAGCCCTGCCACCAGGTGAGGGGATCCTGATGCGTATAGTCATCAAACTTTTCGATCCGGAACGTCGGCATCTTGTACTGCCGCGATGCACTGGTGCTGCCATCATTCTCGGGCGGCTGGTGTAGTTGCCGAACCTCGCTCTTCAAGGTGTCGAGCTGCTCACTGATGGAGGCTGGTGCGACGAAGGTGCTGATGTCGCCAAGCATCGCTAGTACATGGTCGAGTCGTTGCTCCAACTGGCGGGGTGAGGCTGCATTGCTGGATTTGCCAGCATCCGGTCTCGGTGCTGCTTGCGCCAAGTCCTATACACGGCTATGAAGTGCCCGTGCAGCATCCTCGTGCAGATCCTTGTGGTTGCTCATCGGAGATTCTCCAGTTCCTGGTGCTGTTTCTCTAGCTCGGACTGCAGGTGGTTACAATGTAAGCCAACCGGGTCAAGAGTTTGGAGAGAAACTCCTTGTGCTGCTCGTCCGGTGTTGCGTCCTTGTGGCCCTCGGATGGTTCAAAATGCCAGAACTTGAGCCTGTCGACGCTGGTGGCTTCGTGCCCTGCAGCAGATCTTGGGCCTGCTTGCGGTGGGCCTGGGCATCTGCGTCAGCTGCGGCCTGAAGCCGCTGCTTTTCAGCCGCTGCCTCCGCTTCAGCCTGTAGGGGGGCAGCCTCAGCTCGATCTGTGCGAGCTGATCTTGGATCCGCTGTCGGAACTCGGCAATGGACTCGCTATCTACTACTGCAGCGCTCCTGCAGAGTGCTACTCCCGAATCCTGAAGACTGCCTCCTAAACTGCCTGTGCCCTCCCGGGTGGACCAGTAATATATAGTGCTGGTCCGGCTGGGAGGCTGCTCTTGCCAATGCCGAAACGTGATAGACCCCGACGCCCAAGTTCAAAAAAAGGTTGTCTTGAAACAGGCCTAAAAATCGCCTGCGCTGGCGCCTAAGTTTCAGGAAAGGTCGACTTTATGACGGCCTAACGTTGGCCCTCCTTTTTAGGCTGAAACGACACAGTGCCTAAAAGGCCCTGACTTATCCCTTGTTCCGCCTGGTCGGGCCCTGCAGGCCCGTGTGGTGCGCAGTATGCCACAGGGGGGTATGGGGGGGGGTATAGGGGGGGTATAG